CGCTAGTAGGTTCCAGGCCATCACTATTAGGTTGGAGGCCATTGCTAGCTTCTAGGTTGGAGACCATCGCTAGTAGGTTGGAGGCCATCGCTAGTAGGTTGGAGGCTATGCTAGTAGGTTGGAGGCCATCGCTATTAGGTTGGAGGCCTTTGCCTTCCAGGTTGGAGGCCATCGCTAGAAGGTTGGAGGCCATCGCTATCAGGTTGTTTGATTTGAGTTGAATTATACAAATATATATATATATGATTGGTGCCCTTGCCGCCCTTGCCTAGCACCTTGACAGGGCCTCCCCCTTGCCTGGCCTTCGGGCACTCTCTGGATCAAGTCACGACAAGAAAGACAAGATCACAGGAGCAACTCGCTGCTCGAAACGGATCAAACCTCAGATGCTTTCACGGCCATTTTGAATCCACAACAGCAGTTTCCACACTTATTTATGAGGGGAATGAAACGGTTACTTCTAATTTGTCGCCGCAAGAGTTTCTCAGCATGTAGCTTTGCAGCGTTTGCTTTCACAACTTGGGTTTTCCTTTTACTTGGTGCAAGCATTGTGCCTGGGACCGTAGACGTCCGGCTCAAGCCCAGTCTTGAAAGATTGAATCAAAGCGGTGACCCTCCATGCCCTATATGGTTTCAAGATGTTTGGCAAATCGTTGCTCCAGCAAGACTTCAAACACATTTTTGGGTGGATATTGAGCTGCGGTTTCTTGCCATCGAAGCTGTCCTCTGACCAGCTGAACTGAGGACATTTCCTGAATTCTGCTGTTGCTGATATGTGGTGTTCTTATTGTGCAGAATGAAACCTGATGGTGTCGGCAGAAAGTGCTACCAGGAGCAATGTCTGCGCAAGGGCTTCCAGCTCACATTCTTGCGCTTTTCACACCCAGGCACAGATCCGCAAACTGTGTAGTCACAATGTCCCTTCAGTGCTTTCTGTCATGAAAAGTAAAAAACCTCAATTGTCCATATGAATGACCATCCAGGCCTCCTCCCCAGCACCTACCGCCGTGCGTCCTGAAGCCCTCGGTGAAGCTCTCAGGCTGTGCAGAGAGCCTTGCCTGAAACATGTCCGGGATGATTGGACGTTCAGGGATGACCATCAGATCATCGGATCTACGGATCGTTCTGTAGAGGCTGCCAGGAAAGGGTTCTCGGATGGTCCCTGCGGCAGACGTGCGAGGGGAGCTTGAAAGCCGCGAAATCGCTGTCCGTATCTTGGAGAGTGGCCGAAGTGAGTTTAAGGGTTGAACTGTTGAACGGAAAGCCTCAGTTTAGTGCGTCCTCGGTTGGCCTGAGTTGGGTGCAATACCTGCAGCGTAGAAGTTGGTCCAGAGAAAATCAGGTCGGTCACCGGGGAAAGTCGCTTCGACTCGCCTTGGGAGCAAGCTGCTGACGAGGTGAAAAGACGAAGATTGTGTGGTTAGAGACTTGCATTGAGTCGCTGTGCAGCGAGCAGTCGCTTTGGGGTTTTCGAGGTAACCAAGTGCCGGTGAATCCCATGGGCCCATGGGAGTTAAGGACACCTGCGGGAACCGGGCACCTTTACGTTTATGCTTCAGTTTACCTACGTCCAAAATTTTAATTGGATGTTACAGTACATTCAATCTCAAAACCCTGTAACCTTGGCTTGGTCACATATTATCATGGACAATAGAGCCCAATTAGAGGGCGCTCTGAGCAGTATCAGTATAAAGTATATGGTTTAGAGATCATCGAAATGCTGACCTTCACCTAGGTACGTTGAATTTTTCTCTGCAGCCCCTTGGCTGCATTTCTCCACATAGAATTGCATGGTGTCGCATTTTTGGTCAGACCGAAGGGCCGCGCAGGGTTAGCTTGATAAGACGACTGCTGCAGATTTGGAAGGGTTTGTGGAGTCGTTAAGGCCCGCAGCAGATTCAGTACGAGACCTGCACCATAATGTTTCTTGACGATTGCTCTTGAATCATCGTATGCATACTGCATACATTCATATATATATATACATATGTACATCTTTTACATATAGTAGATATATAAGGTGACAAGAGAAGGCAATTCTAGGGAGACATTTACGGCACCCCCGATGGGATGTACAATGTGCCGCAATGAGGATCCGCCGCCTCCCAAAGAGCCTTGGGAGTCACCACTGGAGCGTAAGGCTCGAAGGCACCGTGAAAAGGCAGGGTGCCGGAAAATGAGAGTCTTGAGGAAAACTGAGTATGGCCAGGAGCTCCTAGTAGCGTTGCCCTTTGTTAGCAGCTTCTTGTTCCTGGTAGTGATGCCAGGAGGTACTAGTAGCGTCCTTGTTACTTGTAGTATATAAATATCCAGATGAAGTGCTGAATGTAACTTGCTAAGTTTCAGGGATTTGCTGGCCCACTGCAGGCTTATGTGCCGTGATGTCCACTCACAGAGGAATTATACTGGGAGCATCTGTGCATGTGGTCTTTGCCTTGGCAAGGTTGAGGCCCACAAAGCAGCTCAGAAGAAGGTCATCGAGGCCTATGACCCTCACAAGGAGCGAGCGGGAGGAGCCAAGGGTGAGGAGTTGAATTCCAACTAAGCCGTAACTAAGCTTGAACTCATGTGTTCGTGCCTGCAGGGTCTTCCACTGTACTTCAAAGAAAGGGTTTAAGTAGCTTCATGTATGAACATTTGATTTATACACAGAGTGAGACTTCCATGTCTGTGCCTTCAACTTGCAGGATCCCAACGCCAGCGGCGATCCCTTCAAGACACTCTTTGTGGGACGAATTAGCTGGATCCTTATGTACAAGATATTACAAGTCCTGAGGTTGAAAGTCGGAGACCTGACCTGAGGCTATGATACGACTGAGAAGAAGCTGAAGCGTGAGTTCGAAGTCTTTGGAAGCATCAAGAAGGCTTCTATGATGTTGAATCTCTTCAACACAGAATTCAGAACTCAGAAGTAAACAAGTGTTAAGTTTCACAAAAAATCTAGGAACTGAAGCACTAGCGTGAGCTATCCTGTACTAGCTACCTAGCTTCTACTAGCTGCTGCTTCTAGCTACAACCTCCCTGCCGGGCTTAAAAAATAGAAGTAGTAACTGTAGCAAGCAGTAACTCCTAAGTAGATCTCTTTTGCCTCCGAGCAGATCAGTCGCCCGTCTCCAGCTTGTGGTTTGCCAGGTTCGCATGGTCTATGACCAAAAAGGGAAGCCAAGAGGAGCATCCGATCGTGACTGGAGTCCAGCGCAAACATCTGGTGTCCTAGTGTCATCTCAATTTGTTTTGAACGGTTTCTTCTCCTTATATACTGTAGACCCGGTTTTCAATCCAAACCAGATGCTTAACCTTTCTAGATCTTGGAGCGAATGGGGAAGAGCTGGTGAGAAGAATGATGTCCCTGCAGGATATGCTTTCATTGAGTTTGACCATGAACGTGATCTAAAGAACGCATATAAGCAGGGAGATGGCAAGAAAATCGATGGCAGCTTGGTCCAAGTGTTGGGCATAAAAAAAATTCTCTCTCTCTCTCTCTCTATCTCAGTCTCTCTCTCTCTCTCTCTCAGCGGTCAATCCTTTTCCAACACTTCTGGTGGGTGAGATTTTACAAACAAAGCTATCCCAGGAGGTCTGCGGATTTTTCGCACACTGCAGGTCTTCCTTCTTTATCGACTTAGGCCGCCGTGTGATGGTGGATGTGGAACGTGGCCGCACGGTGGAGGGCTGGCTTCCGCGGCGCCTTGGGGGAGGCCGAGGCCCCGGACGACAAGGCGGGGAGGTGCCGTCAGGTGACAACATCTTTGGAAAGAAATGAACACCTGTCATGAGAGGTACAACTAGGACTCTTTAGGGCCACTAGGAGATGTCCTTAATCTTTCTTGGATTGCTTCATTGGTGTTGCAGGATTTCCTCTATAAAGACTGTATCTTTATGTACATAGATGTAAAGGTTAAAGTCAAAGGTATTTTTATACACATATCCACAAGATGAATTGTTACTATTGTGTTTCAGCGACTGAGTGAGCAGGTAAGCCAGCAAAGAAGAAGCAGAGGCTGGCTTCAATTGACAGCTGTTTGAGTTGGTGCAGCCGCAGCGGAAATAGCGCAGTGATTTGCACTGCGTCAGGAGATTGGCCGAAACCACAGAGAAGTTGAAGGAAAAGGAGAAGGAGGAGAAGAAAGAAAAGAAGGAGAAAGACAAAGGGGAGAAAGACAAGGGCAAGGAAAAAGAGAAAGCCAAGGAGAAGGCTGGGTTTTCCTGCAAAGGGCTGAGAAGGAATCGGTCAGTGGTCGCTTTCTTTCTTGCTTAGAAGAAACAGTTCCTTCAACTATACGTCCTCTTCCCGGCCTTCCAGGAAGGCCGCCTTTTACACAAACTCAGACGTGTTTAATGTAGCCTCCTCGCAAAAGCCATCGAAAGATGTGCCAGATGTGCACGGCCTGGTGCACGGCGAACGGTGGGACTGGTCGGGAGGGCGATGGGGATAAGGGGTGTTGGTAGAAGAACTCCCATGAGTGAAACCAGAAGCTTAGAAGCCTGGTAGTGGGCCCAATCTCTAGCTGAGCTCTCTTGTGTTGGGCTGAAGCAAGGAACAACTGTCTGTTGCTGACATCTCCTCAAGCCAATACCAAGGTGTCCCAGCACTTCCTCCCCCCCAAATAGTATACTCACTAGTTACTAGTTCTGGGAGCATGCGTGACGACAGGCCCAGGATGGCTTTTTCATACGTTTGGCTCCGGCCCTGTACGTGACTATATCATATCTACGAGTGGGAATGCACTTATGTTATCATTTCCTGTTTCACTGTTGATTTGGTACCAGCAAAGGACTGCCGTGCCTGCATAGATTTAGGTGCAATACCACAGAACCGTCACGACCGGACCTGTTTGGCTTCACCCTCACACGAAGCTACTGGGTCGGGATGGCTTCCGCGTCGGCGAACACTGCGTGGGGCCCTTTTTCCAGCGAACAACGTGCTTTTTTTTGGTGCTTTTGAGGTTCCGGTGTGTTGTTTCTGCAACCTGTGAAGTAAAGTAAAGTGCCACATAGAAGGTTCAGTCGAGCTGCAACTGAGGAAACTCCACGCAGACTCTGTGCTGCCTGTGGTAAGGCATCCGGAAGGCCGTTGATTCGTAGGTCTTTAGGCAGCGAAGAACGAGGTTCAATAGGAACTCCGAATTCAGCGTACACCTTGTCGACGCATTGAATCTACCGACCTTGTCGACCTTTTTGTCGAGGCACTTTAAGAATCCTTTGGGGTCAGACTCTCCGTAGGAATCCCCTCTGAAGGCAGAGCCCTACTTTTCTGAAGCAGAACCCCTCGGTTTTGCCGACGTTAGGAGCAGCATGGCACCGCACGTCTTTGGGGCATGCCCAGCCTCTTTCCCTTCTATGTATTTCACCTGCAGGACGATGATCGGAAGGATCGGCGAGACCGAGAGAAGGAGAAAGAAAGGTCAAAAGAGAAAGAGAAGGACAAGGAGAAAGACCGGAAGGACAGGGATAAGGAGAAGGAGAAAGACAAGGACAAGGAGAGCGTGTTGGGCAAGTTGTTACTTACTGTCCTCGGCAAGCTTATGAAGCTGAACCCCAAGAGTGTAAGCTGCCTTTGCTTCACACACTTAGGATAGAGTGTACGGAACTGATAGCGGTGCCACACGCCTAAGAGTACCAGTAAGGACCATCGGAGCCTGGAGGTCTTCAAAAGGAGAAGTGGCCCAAAGCGGAAGAAACCAATCGACGATCACGGGTCGAACAAGATGACGGCGGGCCGTGCGTGACTGCCAATGCATTAGCCCTTTACCAAAGGTTAAAAATTGTGCAGGTACAAGTGGTTGATCAGACCACTCATCCACCGAAATGCCATAGCTTCGTTGGACTGGATAGGCAAATCGGCTCCAGTCCCCCTGCTAAAAGGAAAAAACAATTCAACGGAACCCCTGTGACTACAAGGGGTACACACACACACACACGCCTCCCCAAGGGGAGGCAACTCTGCCCTAGAGCGTCCTTGCGCCTAGAGTAAGGCCAGGAACCCCTAGAAGCATCAAAGTAGCGTCCTAGTAGTAAGGCCAGGAGCCCCTAGTAGCAACCCACTCTAAGGTCCCGACGGGAGGGAGGGGTAGGGAGAGAAGAGAAAAGAAAGAGAAGAAAGGAAAGGGGAAGAAGGTGTTCCCAGCTACGACACAAGCGTCCAAGGACACACCAAAGGAAGAGACGAAAAGGGTTCCCAGCTATGACAAAAGCATCCAGGGACACCCCAGGAGGAAGGAAGGTGAAGAGAGGAAAGAAAGAAAGAAAGAAAGAAAGA